CACGGGGAGATGGCATGCAGAGACAAGGGGAGATATCGGCAGACATGGGGAGATACTGAGAGATAGCAAAGGGGAAGACACAGGGATATATCGGGAGAAGACACGGGGAGACACGCAGGGAGATGACACGGGGAAACACGCCGGGAGATGCCGGGAGATACCGGGGAGACGCAAGGTGTGTGGTGTGTGTGGTGTGTGTATGGTGTGGTGTGTGTGGTGTGTATGGTGTGTGTGTGTGGTGTGTGGTGTGGTGTGTGATGTGTGTGTGCTGTGTATGGTGTGTGTGTGTGGTGTGTGTATGTGGTGTGTGTGTGTGGTGTGTGTGTGTGGTGTGGTGTGTGTGGTGTGTAGTGTGTGGTGTGTGTGGTGTATGTGTGGTGTGTGTGTGGTGTGTGTGGTGTGTGTGTAGTGTATGTGGTGTGTGTGTGTGGTGTTTGTGTGTGTGGTGTGTGTGTGTGGTGTGTGTGTGTGGTGTGTGTGGTGTGTGTGGTGTGTGTGTGGTGTGTGTGTAGTGTATGTGGTGTGGTGTGTGTGTGTGTGGTGTGTGTGTGTGGTGAACACGCGGCAATGAAATGGCACGCGGCAATGAAATGGCACGCGGCATCACGCGCTCAGAGTCTCCTCTTACAACTCCCTCCCTGCCCGTGTTCATCCTTGACAGATCGACTGCAATCCGGGATGATCTCTGATGATCCCTGATGATCCCTGATTGCAAGAGATCAGCCGACGGAGGCTTTGCAGCTTCTAATCAGCGGCGCGGCAACTGGTGACATCGCGACCGCCAACTCGGACCAATTGCTCATCCAGCACTCGGTACGACTCGCTGTGTCACAACCAGCCACTACAATCACACCTGGTGTGTCACAACTAGCCACTACAATCACACCTGGTGTGTCACAACCAGCCACTACAATCACACCTGGTGTGTCACAACCAGCCACTACAATCACACTCGCTGTGTCACAACCAGCCACTACAATCACACTCGCTGTGTCACAACCAGCCACTACAATCACACCTGGTGTGTCACAACCAGCCACTACAATCACACCTGGTGTGTCACAACCAGCCACTACAATCACACCTGGTGTGTCACAACCAGCCACTACAATCACACCTGGTGTGTCACAACCAGCCACTACAATCACACCTGGTGTGTCACAACCAGCCACTACAATCACACTCGCTGTGTCACAACCAGCCAGTACGATGACACGTGGTGTGTCACAACCACCGAGCATAATGACACTCACCCCACTAACCACACCGCAGGTCACCTCACTTCTCTCTCTGCTTCTTCTCTCGCACCGCTCCACTCTGGAATACCCTCCTCCCATAATCACCATCACCACCAACATCACCATCATCAACATCATCACCATCACCACCAACATCACCATCATCAACATCATCACCACCATCACCATCATCACCACCACCATCATCATCCCTACCACCATCATCAACATCACCATCATCACCATCATCACCATCACCACCAGCACCATCATCAACAACATCGTCAGCATCATCATCACCATCACCACCATCATCACCACCATCATCACCATCACCACCATCACCATCATCATCACCACCATCATCACCACCATCACCATCATCACCACCACCATCATCACTACCACCATAATCACCATCACCACCAACATCCCCATCATCAACATCCTCACCACCATCATCAACAACACCGTCACCATCACCACCATCATCACAATCATCACTATCTTCAACCATAACCACCATCTTCAATCATCACCACCATCACCATCACCACCATCACCATCATCAGCATCATCACCATTACCACCATCACCAGCACCATCATCAACAACATAGTCAGCATCACCACCATCATCACCACCATCATCACCATAACCACCATCACCACCATCACCATCATCACCACCACCATCATCACCACCACCATCATCACCACCATCATCAACAACACCGTCACCATCACCACCATCATCACCATCTTCAACCATAACCACCATCTTCAATCATCACCACCATCACCATCACCACCATCACCACCATCATCACCATCATCACTACCACCATCATCAACATCATCATCAACAAAATCGTCAGCATCACCACCATCATCACCATCTTCAACCATAACCACTATCTTCAACCATTACCACCATCATGACCACCAACATTACCACCATCATCATCAACGCCATCATCACCATGATCAACACCATCAACACCATCATCACCACCGTCATTGTTTCTTTACCGAACCCCAGGCTCTTACAGCAATAACCTCTTACAAGTCTCCAAGTCTGCGTTATGCAAAACGTGCAAACAGACGTGGTTTTGATAATTATAACGATGGACGCATTGTCCTTGAAACTCATTGGCCAACGCCAGAGACAACTTCCTTTGTGGCCTTGTCCCGACTGCCACCACCGCCACCGCCACCACCACCGCCACCGCCACCACCACCACCGACACCACCACCGCCACCGCCACCACCACCGCCACCTCCACCACCGCCACCACCGCCGCCACCACCAGTGTTAGAGCGAGCGTTACAAATGCCAAAAAACACGACCAGGTGCAAAGTCGACGCGAATATCAAAGCATGGGGACAAGCTCAGGTTTAAGCCGACGTATCTACGGGATCCCTTTGTTGTCAATGCAGGCGACAATAATATGAATAATTTCCGTCTGTAAGGCCGCGTTTACATCCGCGAGATATGTTTGTTGTTTGAACGTCTGAGCACCACCTGCATTCCTGCCGGGGTGGGATCGAGGGGGGGGGGGGGTGAAGTTTAAAAGCTTTAATTTTGTTTCCATCATCTCGATAGAAGTGGAGAACAAAACAAAGACACGTGAAACAGGGGTCCCCCGTGCAATCAACAACGTGAATTGTAGATTAGATTTGTGGGGGGGGGGGCGGTTTTCCGGGTCCAGTAGGAATTATTTACACCCTTTCATTTAACTCACTCTGTCTGTCTGTTGTTGTATCCTCAAATCTTGTGACTCAATATCAACCCACTTCCCAATGTGGTATCGACTTCAAACTTGGTATACTTATGTCATACTGATGACAATACTATATTCTATGATTAAAAATAAAAAATATATATTTTTAAACATTATTTTTTAACATGTTATGTTTCGGCTTGGGTCTAATTGTCAACGGTCCCCTTAAGTTGTGGCAAGCTTCGGGGTCACTTCCTGGAGTCGTGGAGTTCTTCCATTACTAGTACGGTACATTTCATAAAAGCGTGTTTTTAAAAAAAAAAGTTTTTTTTTTAAATAGTACTTATTTTTCCCCTTCCGCGGTTCAGGATCAACATCAACGCGCGCTCAGGATATTTGGTGACTGCTGCTCTAAATGTCCACGTGATGATGATGATGATGATCATGATGATCATGATGATGATCATGATGATGATGATGATCATGATGATGATCATGAATAGCCGCTTCGTTGAGCTATAATTTGGGGGACCGGGTCACTTCTGAAAAAATAAGCTCATAGCTCAGTCGGCTTTACTTTGTATCATGATGGTGAAAAAAAAATATTTTATTTGCGTATGTTTTTAAAGTTAATTGTTTACATTTCCTATACTTTGCATCCCGAATGTGTTTTGTTATATATATTTGTTTGTTGTAACGTTATGACCCCTGAGCCCCAACTGGACTCTGTGAAAAAGAGCTTTATAGCTCGTCGGATTCTTAGCGCATACTCACGTGTGTAGAAATGAAGTAAAATTTAACTAAATAATGACTCTGAACTACCTCACCTGGTCTGCAGCAGAGGGAGGGAGGGAGGGAGCGGAGGGAGGGAGGGAGGGAGGGAGGGAGGGAGGGAGGGAGGGAGGGAGGGAGGGAGGGAGGGAGGGAGGGAGGGAGGGAGGGAGGGAGGGAGGGAGGGAGGGAGGGAGGGAGGGAGGGAGGGAGGGAGGGAGGGAGGGAGGGAGGGAGGGAGGGAGGGAGGGAGGGAGGGAGGGAGGGAGGGAGGGAGGGAGGGAGGGAGGGAGGGAGGGAGGGAGGGAGGGAGGGAGGGAGGGAGGGAGGGAGGGAGGGAGGGAGGGAGGGAGGGAGGGAGGGAGGGAGGGAGGGAGGGAGGGAGGGAGGGAGCAGAGCCGCTACCACTACCGCACACAAAGATAAAAGACAAAGATCCCCCGTATAGCCTTAACAGACTGTAGGGGCAAGTGCTGTTAGCGAGCAGCACCTATGAAGGCCGGTAACGGTACACGAGGGGGTGGGTGGCCAGCACCACGCCCGACCGCCTTTGTCTCCCTAGTGGCGATGTTTACTGCACACCGCACCAGGTGCTCATTTGAGGCTGAGTCGACCTAGGCGAGGCCCGGGACCGATTCAGAAAATCGTCACTGGGTGTTGGCCGTGAGCGGGAATCGAACCCGTGTCGCCGGGTTCGTAGCGCAGCGTAGCGCTAACCGCTACCACTACCGCTCCCCTACACACCACACACACAACACACACCACACACCACACACACCACACACACCACACACACCACACACCCCACACACACCACACACACCACACACAACACACACACACACACACACCACACACACACACCACACACACCACACACACCACACACACCACACACACCACACACACCACACACACCACACACCACACACCACACACACCACACACACCACATACCCCACACACACCACACACCACACACACCACATACCCCACACACACCACACACACCACACACACACCCCACACACACCACACACACCACACACACCACACACCACACACACCACACACACCACACACACCACACACACCACACACCACACACACACCACACACCACACACACCACACACACACCACACACACCACACACACCACACACACACCACACACACCACACACACCACACACACACACCACACACCACACACACCACACACACCACACACAACACACCACACAAGGGCGCGCGTCCGTGCCACCTACCGGTCTCCGCTTGCATGACGCCCCACGTGCACCCATCGGGCACCGTACGCTCATCTCCCCCTCCTCCTCCCACCGTCGCCACCACCGCTGCCCCTCCGTGGCCGCCCCCGTCGTCGGAGCTCGCCTCTCCCTCGCCGAGGCCGCTGTCCGTCTGGCGGATGCGCCCGGCGTTGGCATTGGCGGCGGCGGAGGAGGTGGAGGAGGAGGAGGAGGAGGTCGTCGCCGCCGTCACCGCCGCTGCAGCGTCCCCCTCACCGAGGCCGCTGTCGGCGAAGCTCTGCTGGGACGAGTCGCAGGCGTCCAGGCGGCCGTCGCCCAGGGAGAAGGTCACGCGACGGGGCGGAGGCTGCACCTTGCAAAGACAAAGTTCCACCACCCTATAGCCTCGGACTGAACTGTTGGGGGCAATGCGGGGGGTCGATCACGTGCCTGACGACGCCTGCTGAGTTAATTCATTCACCCCCCCACCCCCCACTTTGTGCAAGAGCGCTAAAAGCGTGGTCACCACATCTACGTCGCTATGTAAGGAAGGAAACAGGAGGACTTATCCACGAGTCTGGCTGTCGCCTGATGAAGCTGGTTGTAATTACGGGCGAAACGTCGTTACTCAGATTGTAAATGTTTGTGGCTTGGCTCTCCAACACACCGGTGTGCTCTGCTAGTATACTACACTATACACTACATTATACACTACTATACACTACACTATACACTACACTATAGACTACTATACACTACACTATACACTACTATACACTACACTACTATACACTATACACTACTATACACTACACTATACACTACTATACACTACACTATACACTACGTTATACACTACACTATACACTACTATACACTATACTACTATACACTACACTATACACTACTATACACTACACTATACACTCCGTTATACACTACATTATACACTACTATATACACTACTATACACTACACTATACACTATTAAACACTACACTATACACTACTATACACTACACTATACACTAATATACACTACACTATACACTACTATACACTACACTACACTATACACTACTATATACTACACTATACACTACATTATACACTATACACTACACTATACACTACATTATACACTATACACTACACTATACACTACGACACACTACACTATACACTAGTGCTGTACTAGTGACGATTTTGCCACGTTCTGTTTATGTGACAACCCCTTACTAGCTGACTCTGTCTGAGACCCTACTTACTTTCACGGGCAAGTCCACCTCAGCTGTGCTTAACTCAGCTCACTTGGTTTCTCTAATCAAGGACATCTCACTGTCTCCGGATGATTTGCTTGTCAGTTTCGATGTAGTCTCTCTGTTCACCAATGTACCTGTACTTGACACCATTGCAATCATTGAAGACTTGGCCCAACAAGGACTGAATCCAGATGTACCAACTTTGGTAAGGCACTGTCTTACCAACACATACTTCACCTGGAATGGTATATTCTACAAACAAAATGAGGGTACCCCAATGGGTTCTCCCTTATCGCCAGTGGTAGCGAATATTTTCATTGAGAAATTTGAGACAGATGCCATCCAGACATCCACCCTACGTCCTTCCTTGTGGAAGAGATACGTAGATGGCATGTTCGTCATCTGGCCACATTGCCTGCCAGCACTGAACCAATTTCTCAACCACATCAACTCCATACATCCCGTCTATCAAATTCACCATGGAAGTGGAAAAGGATGGCAAGCTACCATTCCTGGATGTTTTGAATGAGAAGAGACCTGATGGTTCGTTGGGACATTCGGTCTACAGGAAAGCCACCCACACAGATTCCTATCTAAAGCCTGACTCCCCACCACCATCCAGCCCAGAAGAATTCCCTCATCAAAACACTACACCATAGGACCCGTTGCATCTCCGACCAGCAGCGCCTAGCCAGTGAGTTGGAGTGCGTACACCAAGCCCTCAGGATGAGCGGATACTCGGACCGTACAATCCGCAAAGCTGCCTCCCCAGCCATGGGGAGACAACCTTCTGAGGATCCAACCAAAACCATCACTTTGCCATACATAGCAGGGGTTAGCAAAAAGATTTCCAAAATCTTAAACAAACACAGAATCCAGGTTCGTTTCAACACAGTACACAAAATCCGTGATTTAATCCCATCTGTAAAGGATGTGATTCCTGACATGCAATACCCTGGTGTCTACAAACTGAGTTGTGACAGCAGTTACTGTACATTGGGGAAACGAAACGACATGTCTCGGACCGCGTTCGTGAACACAAGGCAGATCTGAAACACGGTAGGACCAATGCCTCTACCGCTGCTGATCATTGTTTCAACGCTGTGGGCTCACACAAAATGGATTTTTCCAAGACGGAGGTACTCTGCAACTCTATCGGCTACCTTCAGAGATTTGTTCATGAAGTAATCCAGACATATATAAACACAGACACAGCTTCAATCGAGAAGATGGGTACAAACTGAGCAATCATTGGAAGGACGTTATTAACCAGGTAAAGTCTTAACTGACTGTGACGTTTCCATCCTACCTGCCTATGTCAGCTGTTATTTCCAACTCTCTGTGTCTCTCTATGCCTCTCTCTTAGAAAAAAATAATGTCCGTTGCATTGCACTCTCATGCCTTGGGATTGCACTCTCATGCCTTGGGATTGCACTCTCATGCTCACAGGCCCTTTGGATTGCACTCTCGTACTCACAGGCCCTTTGGATTACACTCTCATGCTCACAGGCCCTTTGGATTACACTCTCATGCTCACAGGCCCTTTGGATTACACTCTCATGCTCACAGGCCCTTTGGATTGCACTCTCGTGCTCACAGGCCCTTTGGATTGCACTCTCGTGCTCACAGGCCCTTTGGATTGCACTCTCGTACTCACAGGCCCTTTGGATTGCACTCTCGTACTCACAGGCCCTTTGGATTGCACTCTCATGCTCACAGGCCCTTTGGATTGCACTCTCGTACTCACAGGCCCTTTGGATTGCACTCTCATGCTCACAGGCCCTTTGGATTGCACTCTCGTACTCACAGGCCCTTTGGATTGCACCTGATGGGTTGCACTCCCTCGTCGAGGAGGCCGCTCTCCTCCTAACTTACAGTTACATGCTAATCTCTCACATTAACATCATGCTAATCTCTCACATTAACATCATGCTAATCTCTCACATTAACATTATGCTAATCTATCATATTAACATTATGCTAATCTATCATATTAACATCGTGCTAATCTCACATATTAACATCATGCTAATCTCTCACGTTAACATCATGCTAATCTCTCATGTTAACATCGTGCTAATCTCTAACATTAACATGCTAATCTCTCACGTTAACATGCTAATCTCTCATATTAACATCATGCTAATCTATCATATTAACATCATGCTAATCTCTCACGTTAACATCATGCTAATCTATCATATTAACATCATGCTAATCTCTCACGTTAACATCATGCTAATCTCTCATGTTAACATCGTGCTAATCTCTAACATTAACATGCTAATCTCTCACGTTAACATGCTAATCTCTCATATTAACATCATGCTAATCTATCATATTAACATCATGCTAATCTCTCACGTTAACATCATGCTAATCTCTCATGTTAACATCATGCTAATCTCTCACATTAACATACTCATCTCTCACATTAACATCATGCTAATCTCTCACATTAACATCATGCTAATCTCTCACATTAACATCGTGCTAATCTATCATATTAACATCGTGCTAATGTCACATATTAACATCATGCTAATCTCTCACATTAACATCATGCTAATCTCTCATATTAACATCATGCTAATCTATCATATTAACATCGTGCTAATGTCACATATTAACATCATGCTAATCTCTCACGTTAACATCATGCTAATCTCTCATGTTAACATCATGCTAATCTCTAACATTAACATGCTAATCTCTCACATTAACATGCTAATCTCTCATATTAACATCATGCTAATCTATCATATTAACATCATGCTAATCTCTCACGTTAACATCATGCTAATCTATCATATTAACATCATGCTAATCTCTCACGTTAACATCATGCTAATCTCTCATGTTAACATCATGCTAATCTCTCACATTAACATACTCATCTCTCACATTAACATCATGCTAATCTCTTATATTAACATCATGCTAATCTCTCACATTTACATGCTCATCTCTCATATTAACATCATACTAATTTCTCACATTAACATGTTAATCTCTCACATTAACATGCTCATCTCTCACATTAACATCATGCTAATTTATCACGTTAACATGCTCATCTCTCACATTAACATCATGCTAATCTCTCACATTGACATCATGCTAATTTCTCACATTCACATCATGCTAATCTCTCACATTAACATCATGCTAATCTCTCACATTGACATCATGCTAATTTCTCACATTAACATGCCAATCTCGCACATTGACATCATGCTAATTTCTCACATAAACATGCTAATCTCTCACATTGACATAATGATAATTTCTCACATTAACATCATGCTAATCTCTCACATTAACATGCTCATTTCTCACATTAACATCATGCTAATCTCTCACATTAACATCATGCTAATTTCTCACATTAACATGCTAATCTCTCACATTAACATCCTGCTAATCTCTCACATTGACATCATGCTAATTTCTCACATTAACATGCTAATCTCTCACATTGACATCATGCTAATTTCTCACATTAACATCATGCTAATCTCTCACATTAACATCACTAGCCCCGGCCACTTCTTTATAACCCTTGGGCTACACCCGTTTCAAACCTTATAAAACAGTCTGCCTCAGCAGCAGACCAAGGATTTCCCCACCTGATGAAGGACGCTTGTGTTGCGCCCGAAACGTCGTGATTTCTTTTATTTTCTACCTACCACGTGACTTTACCGAAAGAACCAAAGAGTATGGATTCATGCAGTCACGACAGCTTCAAATCAAGATAGGCGTATCATTGCCACGTTGAAATTTATAGCAGCCAAATGCTCTACGACATTGACATGAGGATCAAATCCCATAAACCAACACTATCAAGCAAATAAAACCCCTACCAACCGAGCGAAAATCGAAAATGAATAAACAAAAGTAAGAAAATCCATATCGCATATGTACGTATGTACACTCGACTTCTTTCGCACCGTACGTAACCAACCATGACCCGCGATTCAGTGACTCATTCCGAGGGCCGCTGCTACGCACCCAAAGTCGAATCCGAGTTCAGTTCCTCGCTCACTGCCCTACCCCCACCACCACCACCACTCCCCACCCTCCGCACGCCACCACGTCTTAGGCTGACCGTGCCTGAGTGCCCTGTGCGTTGCGCGTGAACAAAAACAAACCTCGCCACCGGGGAGACAAAGGCGGCCCACGGCCTTACGCGGTTTGCTAGCCACACCACCGACGTCCCATCGTTGCGCCGTGTCATGGATTGATCTTCTTTTGGTGCTGCTCGCGAACAACCAATTTTTACACCCACCCCCCCTCCCCCCTTTTAACAGTCAAACTTCCGTCTAATTATAATTCTTTAATAATGGATGATTCCTTTAGCGAGGGTGGGAGACCCA